ACTGACATTACTAAGGGGCCCAGGAAACCACTGATGACCACAATCTGATATGACATCTGCAGATACTAAAGCTCTGTCATGCAAAAAGGAAGCCATGTTTGAACATGATCGAGAGGCGGCGTCATATTTGTGAAATGTACTGTTTCAAAATGGAAACATTTTCTATGGCCTGACGAGTCCAGATTTGACATCCTAGTTGGTAATCACAGACGTCTCATCCTCCAGGCTAAAGAGTGGGAGACATTCCAGCGTCTTAAGTCAGCATCTTTGATGATATGTGTTGGAATAAATGCATTCAGTATGGGCAACTTGCATGTTTTGGAAGAAACATTGAATGTTGAAAGGTTTTGGACCCCCTCCTATTCAGGTTAGCATTGGAGCCACTTGTTGGGTGGCGCGAGTGGAGGGCATCACCAGTGACACTGGAACTGTCATCTGCAATATGTTCTTATAAATATAATGGTAAATGGCCTATATAAATACAGGCCATTTACCATTTACTTTTTTCTGTATATAAACAAAAATCCTCATAAAAAGATTTATAAAATAAAATACATAAAGGTTTTAGAGCAACATATGATCCCTTCCAGAGTACATCTGTTTCAGGGATGGCCTTTTGTATTTCAGCAGGAAATTGCAAAACCACGTACTGCCACTATTACAACAGCATTGCTTCCTCGGAGAAGAGTCTGGGTGCTGAATTGCTATGCCTGATTTCCAAATCTTTCACTTATAGAGAACATTTGGTGCATCATTAAATGAAAACTACATCAAACAAATTCCCACACCAAAACCCCAGAAACTCAAAACCTTGATGCCCAGACATCTTCAAAATGTTTTGAAAAGAAGAGCAGATGCTACAGTATGGTAAACATGTCCTGTAGCAACCATCAAATTTAAAATGAGCTAATTTTGTGCTTAAAATTGAAAAATGTCTCATTTTAAACATTTATTGTGTTATTTCTGTTCTGTTCTGAATAAAATATTGGCTCATGTGATTTGAAAGTGTTTTAGTTTATTTATTAAACGAAAACACTTAAAGAAATTTAAACTTAAAGAAATTCAAAGAACATTTAAATGAGGATTGAATGCTTTCTTCTAAAGTGTAGCAAAGCGATTTAAAGGGACATAACATTTTATGTCTGACATTTTAGGGCTGTGGTAGAATAGAAGAGGAGGAGTAGGAGTAGGAGAGAAATAAACACATGTAGCTAAAAGACTGACAGAAAACAAGCCGAGTTTATATAAACTCATAAAAGGCAAAAGGAAAAAGTAAATAACTCACACCCGCCCCTTGTTTCTTGGGTTAGAATCTAAATTGTCTGCTGTCCCCAGATTTAAGTAATTATTTTATTACAGCAGTTAACAACTTACCTATGTTAGATATCATATTGCATTCAGTCTCACAGGAACCGTGTCCTGACACCCAATTCTCATAAAGCATTTCATAAGACACAAAAGACATCAGCCACCAGAATATCCAGCTCTTCTTCCTGTGAAGAGACTCTCACATTTAGAATGAAAAAAAAAATCCTTTTCCATCAAATGTTGTCAAAGTTCCTTTCAGATTAAAATTGGTTGATTAATTTAGATTAGCATTATTTTACAAAGCTATTCAAGCATTATGTTATTTATCTTTTTTTTATTTTGTTGCCATTATGCTGAAGGTAGACAGAAAATCATTCCCACCGCATTTAATGTTTCTAATTGATTAAAAACGGTAATTTGATTGTACAGTACGGGGAGTGAAAAACTGTTATGTTTTACTGTCTCACAGAATGTATGATTGGATAAAGGGATTTAAGTTGGTACTGAGCCATATAACCATATAACTGAGCCATAAGAGGAGGTCTCATGGATGGAGGGGTCATAAAACCATTGGAAACCGCCCTTGCTCCTGTTTCAAACTGAAAGTCAATGTTCCTTTGATGTATGGCCATCCCATACCCTTAACTACATGATTATTCTTAATTCTTTATTGTTTTCATTCTTAAATATTAGTAATACTTTTGCATTTCCACTAAAAGTAGGTGTAATAATTCCAGGAATGTTCCCACATATTCAAAAGACAGGGGCAAACCACCTATTACTGTTCAGATTGGAATGCAGCATGAGTAGTGAATGCAGTGGTAATGTAACAGACCAGAACTTATTACATGTTATCAGTATCAACATTGTTTATAACCATTCAGCAAACTGATTGTAAATGAGTAGCAAGTCTAACTGGACACATGTGAGATGGTATTGGTTCCATGTCATAGCGTCTTACATTGTACTGTAGCACACTAAACGATTTCATGTTATACTGTTAAACAATTTGAAATTTCAATACTACAAAGATATTTAAAGCTAAATTATCATTGTGGTCTATTTGACAAAGTAAGACCTTTAGTCAATGCAGAGATATTGAGACAGCCACCAAAGCTCTCACACCATCACCCTGAAGACTCATCAGTCAAAGTGCATTGAAATAAAATGTATATTTTTTTTATCCTTGTTATTAGCATCAACACAAAAAGTGTAATGTACTTTAAAGTGAACCAAAACGTAGCCTACCTTTGCATGTTGCTGTGGAAATCAGTTAATCAGGACAGAGAACACAGCAGAAGTGACAGCAGGGGGGAAAAAAGAGCTGAATATGAAGAGTTGTAAAGGAAGTTGATGAAACAAATGTCAATGACTTTCTAAGTAAGAAAGAGGAAGTATCAACTTGCTAGAAAGCTAAAAATACACGTCTTCCCTTCCTTGTCACTACTTAGCATGCAGCAAATACAGGATGACGTTATTAAAAATATTATACTGAACACTGTTCACATTTTCAGCACTAAAACACATTCTTTTCAAGCTACTTCTTCCCTTAAAGCAGGTCAAATTGAACAGAAAGTACCACGAAGTACCATGAAATTGTGACAAATACCTTATTTGTGTATAAAATTGGTAATAAAACTGATCCAAATTCTGATTTCAAAAAGAGATTAAGCTGAACAATTTATGTATATTGGAATTTTCCTCCCGTTGTTACAAGAATGAAATTCTGTCTGTGTCTGTGAGAAAACTAGCTGTAACAACCTGTCCCTTTCATGATACTTTTTCAGTTGAAAAATGCAAATGTAGAGAACCTCTCATTCATAGTACCAACAGTTAATAAATACATGTAAATTATTATTTTACATTTTACATGATTGCAAATGTTTTCCTTACATTGCAGTGTTGTTGGAGTTAGACGTGTCCAAAGGGGCATACAACTTTACAATACAATGCAACTTTATTTGTATAGCACGTTTAAAAGACCAGCGGTACACCAAAGTGCTTTACAATAAAAACAGGAAAATTAAGACAATAAATAAAAGACTATTAACAAACTATCACATACCCAGAGCATGTTGTGCTGGCTAGAGAAGCTGACGCTTGGAACTGGGGGAGACCGTGCTTGGTTTTCTGAAAGCATTTGACCGCTTCTTGCAGGGTTGCGAAGCCAGTAGGGTCCCCACTCAGCAGCTCGGTGAGCTACGCTTCCTCTCCTCACTGCGCTCCTGGGATTCAAGGTTTGGACCCTGG